TAGGGAAAAAAAAAAAAGAAAAAACAGCCAGTGGAATATTAATTTTAACTTCAAATGCAATTTTAAGGAAATATTTAAGTAGAGTAGGATAAGTTTACCCCATGGATATAATAATATCATTTAAAAGTATTAATACATAATTATTTTCATAAATTTTTTGAGCACCAACTGTGTGCCAGGTATATAAAACAGCATGGGAAAATACAAAGTGTTAGTTATCATTATTATTATATTTTATAAATATTGTTATATTTTATAATATAATAATATATTCTTCAGTAATGCTTACCATGAGCCAGGCATTGTTCTTAGTGCTTTGCATATAAAAACCCATTTGAGCCTCACCACAAACATACGAGGCAGGTGCTGATATTATTCCCATTTTTTAGATGAGGTAATTGAGGCACAAAGTGCATACCTTGTCCCAGGTCCTACAGCTACTGAGTGGAACAGATGGCATTCAAGCTCAGGTATTCTGGATCTTAAGTCCTTATTCTTTATTTTTTTATTTATTTTTTTATCAGAGTATAGTTGATTTACAATGTTGTGTTAGTTTCAGGTGTACAGCAAAGTGAATCAGTTATACATACACATGTATCAACTCTTTTTTTAGATTCTTTTCCCATATAGGTCATTACAGAGTATTGAGCAGAGTTCCCTGTGCTATACAGCAGGTTTTTATTAGTTATCTATTTTACAGTGTGTGTGTATATGTCAGTCCCAAACTCCCAATTTATCCCTCCCCCGACTTAACCCCTGGTAACCATAGGTTTGTTTTCTACATCTGTGACTCTACTTCTGTTTTGTAAATAAGTTCATTTGTACCCTTTTTCTTAGATTCCACATATAAGTGATATCATGTGATATTTGTCTTAAATGCTTATTCTTAACCAATATGCAGTTGACAACAACAGTTTTAAAATAAAAATGCTTACTTTTTCAAAAATAAAAAAAAAGAACACCAAAAATGTAATGTTGTTTGTACTGAGGCAGCACGAGGGTGGGTACTTTTTTCTGGTCTCAATCTCTCAATTTGTGTCATTTTAAATTACGAAATATTTAGGGTTTTAACGTTCTCTTCAATTGGCTGTCCCAGTGTTTGAGGTTGCATTACCTGTGCACAGGTGTCCTTCACCAAAAATATTTGCAATGCTGAAAATCAGTGATGGCTTGGATTGCAGTGAGCCTTGGATTGGGTTGACAGGGGCGCCCTGGCTCACTCCCTACAGATACAGCGAGGGGAGATGTGAACTGAGGGGAGAGGAAGCTGTGTAGATGAGGGATTATAAAGAGCGTGGGCTGGGCTGTTTCCCCATGCTGTAGCCCAGAGCGTTTGCCGTGGCACCTCTATATTTATACATTTATTAATTTAGGGAGCTCTCCCCAGTGCCATAAGCCTGAGGGTACTTGAAGCTATTCTTAAAGATGGTAATTAAAATTATCTGTTTTAATTCTAAGAACTCATTTAAAATAATCACTCATAATATTCTGTTAATAAGACTAGTCTTAGAGGATGGATTTGGTGAAGCAGTGTCAGGGACGCAGGGCCCCCACTGAAAATATTCTATTTGTCTACAAACTGTGACTGAACTGGTTCAATATTTAGATAAGAGACTGGCAATCATGGTGCTGGCTTTCCTTGTACCAAGGGAGGAATGTATCGTAAAGGCATGTTCCATCCCTTCTCGTGGGTCAGTAAGTGAGGTCACCTACTGTCTGTCCAGGAAGCAAGTTCACTTCTGCTAAGGAACGAGATCTTAAAAATTGTCAACTTGGGACTTCCCTGGCAGTCCAGTGGATGGGACTCCGAGCTTCAATGCAGGGGGCATGGGTTCAGTCCCTGGTAGGGGAGCTAGGATCCTGCATGCCATGCCGTGGGGCGTGCCCAAAAAGGAAAATTAAAATTGTCAACTGAAGTAAGGGTTGGGTGCTCTGGGCATAAGTGCAGCTCTGACAGGAACTGGACTTGAAAACATTGTAAGCCGGTAAATACTTTCCCTTCCTCTCTTTACAAACTTTTTTTAATTAGACAAGTAATTTATGGTCACTCCAGAAAATGTTGAAAACCCAAATAAAAGAAAACAGGCATGAGGCTGATCATTTCATACGCTAGATGTAGCCACCATTAGAGCTTTGTTTACTTCTGGATTTTTTATGCCTATATATAAAATATGATTTATATCTTTAATCTCCTAATAAAGGAACTTTGTTTCTAGAGTTTACAATCACTAGATTACTTAACTGGTTGATTTGAAGGGAATGGAAGCACAGTCTCCCTACATTTTCAACCCTAGCCTAAAACTATGGGCTTAATTGGATTAAATTGGCTTGGGGAGAATTGACGTCTTAACAATATTGAGTCTCTTGAACATTTACAATGGATAACTCTCCAGTTATTTGGGGTTTATAATGTCCATTTTTATTTATTACAGTTTACCTTCAAGTGATACTATACCTCTTCATATGTAGTATAAGAACCTCACAATAACTTGTTCTCTCCCAGCCTTTATGTTATTGTTGTCATACATTTACCTATTATAAACCTTATAATACTTTGTTATTATTTTTTAAACAAAATCACTTTTATTATATTTTAAAGAGATTTTAAATAGGAAGAAAAATTCATCTATCTACCCATGCAGTTATCATTTCCAGTGTCCTTCATTCTTTTTGTGTAGATCCATTTTTTTATATTTGGTGTCATTTTCCTTCTGCCTGAAGAATTTTTTTTAACATTTCTTGTAATTTGGGTCTGCTGGTGATGAATTCTTTTGACTTTTTTTTGCCTTCATTTTTGAAATATGTTTTCACTGCGTATAAAGTTTCAGGTTGACAGTTGTTTCTTTCAGTACTTTATAAAGATGTCACTCCACTACTTTTCACTTGCATTGCTCCAGTGAGAAATCTGCTGTCATGCTTATTTTTGTTCCTCTGCACGTAATGTAGCTTTCCTCCTCTGGCTGCTTTTAGGATATTTTTCTTTATCACTCATTTTGAGCATTTTGATTATGATGTCCCTTGGTATAGATTTCTTTATCTTTGGGGTTCACTGTGTCTCTTGGATCTGTGGGTTTGTGGTTTTCCTCAAATTTGGGAAAAATTTGGCCTTTTCACATATTTTTTCTGCCCTCCCTACCCCATTAGGGACTTCAGTTGAACTTATATCAAGCTACCTGCAGGCGTCCCATAGCTCACTGATGCCCTTTGCATTTTTGTGATTCTTTTTCCTCTGTGTTTCATTTCAGATCATTTCTATTGCTATATCTTCAGGTTCACTAATCTTTTCTTCTGCCATGTCTAAATTGCTGGTAATCCCATCCAGTGCATTTTTCATCTCAGACATTGTAATTTTCATCTCTAGAAATTTGGATTGGATCTTTTTATATCTTTCATGTCTCTACTTAACTTTCCAAACATGTGGAATACAGTTACAATAACTGCTCTTATGTCTTTGTCTGCAAATTCTAACAGCTTTGTCAGTTCTGGGTCAGTTTTGATTGGCTGATTATTCTTTTCGTTTTGGGTTGTGTTTTCTCGTTTCTTGGCATGCTGATAATCTTCGTTTGGATGTCAGGCATTGTGATTGTTACCTTGTTGGGTGCTGTATATTTTATATTCCTATAAAGTCTTGACCTTTGTCTTAGGATTCAGTTAATTACTTGGCAACTTTGATCTTTTTGGGGTCTTGCTTTTATGATTTGTTAGGCAGGTCTGGAGCAGTGCTCCATCGAGGGCTAATCATTACCCACTATTCAAAGATCTTCCTCAGTTTTCTACTCAATGCCTTGGGAATTATAAGTTTTTCTAATTTGGCCAGTGGAAACAGACACTGTTCTCTAAGCCTTTCAGATGGCTTTTTTCCCTCTAGCTTTGGGTAGTTTCCTCACACACATGCTCTGACCCCTACTCTGCTGAGTGTCATTGAGGGACCCTCTGCAGGTCTCTGGGCTCCTCTCCTGTGCTGCTCTTTCCTCTCTGGTGTTCTGTCCTGCAAAGTCCAGCCGTGTTAATCTCCTCAGACCCTCAGCTCTATCTCCTCAACTCAGTGAGTCTGCCAGGCCATTCCCCAACCCTGCACTGCAGCCTGGAAGGTAAAGTCTCTCAAGGCAGGAAGCAGGGCAAACCTAGAGCCTGCCTGTTTTCTTTCCTCTCTCTCAGGGGTCATTCCCCTTTACTGCCTCATGTCCAATGTTGTGAAAACTATTGTTTGATAAATTTTGCCTGTTTTTTGTCAGTTGATAAATAGCAATGGTAAATCCCGTCTCTGACACTCCATCTTGCATGGTAGCAGAAGTCTCCTGACACTAGATTTCAATGGCCTCTTGACTTGTTTACTCCTGGTTTTGAGGGAGAGTCCAGTGCCCTGATGAAGAGTATGGACATTAGAGCCTGATCAAGTGAAATCTCCGCTCCACCACTTCCTAGCCACGTGACCAAGGCCATGTTAACCTGGCTGTGCCTCCCTTCCTTAGTCTGTAAAATGGGGGTGATAATAGTCATGCCTCATTGGATTTTTGAGAGGATAAAATGAGATAGCGCATTTAAAGCATGATAACCCATTAACGCATCTAAAGTTTCTAGAACTTGGTGACACATTCATCTTAGCTATTGTTGTCATTTTATTTTAATTCTTATAAGACACCAATAAACACTTGCCAACTGAATATCTACTCTTGGCCCGAGAACCACAAGTGTCATCACCATAGGTGACTGGGACCTGGGATCCAGCACTGGGAGAGCTGGAAACCTCAGCTTGTGCTCCCTGAATGATGGTGTAGACATGAGGCCCCAAATCCCCCACCCATAATTGCTATTATTCTAGGGTTTTCATCTCCTAAGTAACAGACCTGGGTTTGTTTGTTTGTTTCATTTTTCAGGGGAAGATAGGAAGACCCCCAGTGAATCAAACAGCCCCTCTTCATCCTCCCTCTCAGCTCTGAGTGATTCAGCCAACAGCAAAGACGATTCAGACAGCTCCCAGAAAAACAAGAGCGGAAACAACCTGCTGGTCATCTCTGTCGTGCCTGGGAGCCAGCCCTCACTGAATAGTGAGGAAAAGCCAGAGAAAGGTAAGGGAGGAGGTGGGCTGGTCTACTCAACCCTACCCACTCTGGGGGAGATGACCCAGTCTTGAGAATAAGCCCTTGACAGAAGTGAGTGATGTTGGAAAACGGGAACAGTATAGTACGTATCATCTAAAATTTACGTGTGCTTTTTGGCTTGATTTGCATCCGTATACGGGGTGGAAAGGTGGGGAGTGTGACATTGATTCTGAAGCTGTATGTTTAACACCTTTTAGCCCGGAGATGCAGGGAACGGTGCCTGGAAGGGTACAGCTGGAGGGTGGGGGGGGTCTCTGTCCTACTCCTGCCCTCCTGTCCCTCTGCCCCATGCACCCATACACCCAGCCTCGGTCCTTTCAGGGTTCGAATGCGTTTTTTGCAACTTTGTCTGCAAGACGAAGAACATGTTTGAGCGCCATCTGCAGATCCACCTCATCACCCGGATGTTTGAGTGTGACGTGTGCCACAAGTTCATGAAGACCCCCGAACAGCTGCTGGAGCATAAGAAATGCCACACTGTCCCCACCGGTGGGCTCAAGTAAGGAAAGCAAGTACAGAACCTTTTACTGTGTTGTTTATTAAACACCCTTTCCCCATCCCTACCCCGTCCCCTCCCCTGAAGGTTTTGGGGTCATGCAGAAGAGGGGCTTGGCATGGGGGGTGGTTAGTCAGGCACCTCTGCTGCCTTTAGCTGGATAGGAAATTAGATCTGCCCCCCAGGAGTTTGGCAGATATCAGCAGGAGAATCCATTTCACAAGACGACTTGCTGAAGCAGCTTGGCACAGGCATGCAAGGGTAGACCCATCCTACACTGCTTGAGTTTCACTCAGACTTGATTTTAAGGGACTTGGGGGTTAGTGCCCCCCAGGTGTAAATCATTACACTGACACTGCACTTCATCCTCTATTTTCTAGATGATTTGCCACAAGTCTTTTAAATAAGCACTACAGCTACCCCATACACACACCCACCCCCAAATATCGGATCCTTGCCAGTGTGAACAGGCAAGAGGCCCCGTTTTTCATGCAAAGATCATGTGCCTCGTGTCTTCCTGCACATATGCCTTACGCCTTCCCAGGAGCTGGAATTGGGATCTCCCTGGTGTAGCCTTCGTGATATCTGACATTTCCGGTCACATGTTCTCCACAGATCCCCAAAGACCTAGACAATGAGCATCATCATTAACCAATATTTGCAACAAGCCCTCTGGTCTGAAGAGAGACCCATCCGTTATTACCAAATGCACTGTGTGCCTGGCTTGATAATAGGTGCTAAAGGGCAAACAAGGAATAAAACATAATTTCCACCCTCGGGGAATGTACGACCGAGCACAACCAGAGTTTAATCTTCCCAGTGGTTCTGAAATCAGAGTCCCTGTTCAGGAGGCACTCATGGTCTAGTAAAGAGAAAAAAGCATCTGTCACTGGGCACAGAAAGGCATACCACTTTCAAAGCATAATTATTCATGTTTAGCTGAAATGATCCTGTTATTAAATGAAAAATGACATTGTACTTAATATAAGAACAAAAAACCTTTTGTTTTTAAACATTTTTATCTTTGAAACTCACAACTTGCCAGAGAAGTGGCATGACTGTCCTGAATGGGTGAGGGGTGGAGAGACCCAGAAGGAGCCTGGGAGTCGAGTCGGGGGGGCTCCGTGCAGGGTGGACTCCCCGGCTCCTGCTGGGTCAGGGGGACCCTCCTCAAGAACTTGCCCAGAGGAGCAACACCTACTGTTGGATCCCATTTTGTTTCACCCTGGGGGGTGATTAGGTGGGAGGGGGAGGGGCGGGTAAATGGGATGGGGGGAGGGGCGATTATCATTCCCGACCACCAGTAAATGGGAAATGCCTAGCACGAGCTTATTTGGGAATTTGATTTGGTTTATTCCACTGCCCCTTTCTAAATATTTGTGTACTCATGTTTAAAAAAAAAAAAAAAAAGCCATGTATTTCCGTGGTTAGACTAGCACTCATTGCCCTGCCCAGAAGCCCAGTCACACCCATTACCCACGGCCCCTGCCAGTTGTGGCTTTGCCAGTTAGGCCCCCTTTCTTCGGGGACCTAAGGAGTCCCGAGCCTCCGACCCACTGGGGAGGATGCAGAGTGAACGCTGATGCTTTTGCGGGTATAGACACTTCCCGTACAGTACTAATGGTCCCCTATGTAATAGTTTATATTCTAGGATGACCAAGTAGAAGAATACTTTGAAAAACTTGCTAAAGCCTTCTGGCTGTACAGTGAGTCTTTGTTTTGTTTTGTTTTGTTTTCCCTTTGCCGTATCAGAGCTTTAATTTGCCTGAGAGAGTGTCTTTACAATAAGTAACGGGAGCACGGAAAACCCTTAGCACTCTGCCTGAGCAGCGAAAGAAAGACTGAGCTGTGGGTCACAGAAATGTCCTTAACGTGAAACAGACTGCCGATGTCTAAATTGCTTTTCTGTGATGGGACTGCTTGTACTCTATATCCTGTTCATAATGCAGATCAAATAAGATTATACTATTATTTTTCTTTTGCCGTAGCTCAGGACAGTGGTGAGTTTCAGACTCCTCTAGGTAAGGCCCAGCTTGGCGTAGGGGTTGTGTGTGCACCTGACCTGGGAATGGGCTTTATATTTCTCTCGTGTGCACTCTTCTGTGAGCTGAGGTTCCGAGGCTAACGGCGGGCTTGGTGCTGAGGCGCAGTGCACGGGCACTGGGTGTGTTGGGCTCTGCTGAAAACCTCTCCAAACCCTCCGAGGACAATTCACTCCCAGGCCCTGCCCTGCAGGTGCCAGGCCAGAGCCGAGGCAGCCACTTTTGCATTTGCATTCTTTTGGTAAAGAGAGCACACACAGGCTACAGCTAGCATATCAGCCACCGACTCGAGCCCGGCAGTTTCTACAGAGCAAAGCTCAGCAGAATCCGTAAACCTGCCCTCTCTGTTCTCCCCGCCCCTCCGGACAGCCGGGAGGCTTGGGGGTAGCGTAGCCTCACTGCCTAGGATGGAGAGACGCGGGCTTTGTCCCAGGGCACAGCCAGCCCGATAAGGTGGCCGAGCTGGGACTGAAACCGGCCCTTCTAGATAGACTCTGCCTAAATGACTTGCAGAGACCAGTCCAGTAATGAATCAGCGCCCACCATGTGCTGAGTACTCTACCGAGCACTGCAGAGAATGCAGAAGAAAAGGGGGATATGGTCCTGCCCGCTGAGAGTTTATGATCCCTTTGGATGATGATTATTTCCATGATGTAATAACATTAATCATTAATAATGCATTAATAACGTCTTCAAGCTCCAGATAGCAGTCGCCTCCCTCCCCCCATCCCCCATTCCTAACCGGGCTGGTGGGTGGGCTTCCTTCTGCCGAGCCCGCCCCTGGTCCTCCCCTCCTTTCCCTGATGGAGACCCCAGGGCTGTAGGAGGCAGGTTTGAGGAGCACAGGTCTCTGCATCTACACACACACACTCCCACACACAGACACACACCCAGGCCTTCTCGTCCTAACCACCCTTTAATCAGCACGATTCTGACCCCTACGACTTTCTGTTTGCTGGAGGTAGCTCTCCCCCTATAAGCTGTTCTTCAAAACTCAGCCTTTCTGCGTGTGCTTGGTGTGGTGCATGAAAAGTCGATTCTCTGTGTTGCTCCCATCTCGAGGGGAGGTCGTGAGGGTTAGCCCTCGGCCGAGGCCACTGCGGGGGCCGGGGAGGGCTCCGAGGGGCCGGGCGGGGAGGACGGAGGGGAGAACAGCTTAGCCGGGCGCCCCCTCCCGCACTGGCTCTGCTCCCCTTCCTGGGGGCCGGCGTCCGCGGACGCAGCCAGGAGACCCCGAGCAGGCCGAGGGACGGCTCCAGAAGAGGGTCCTCGTCGCCCCCGCAGGAGGCGGCAGGGCCGGGCTGGGCAGGGGGCAGGGGGCAGGCCGGGCCTCGGAGCTGGGAGGGCGGCCGAGGGCAGGCTGGTGAGACGGGGAGCAGCCGGGCGGCCGCCGAGCCCGCGTGGCTGACCCTCCCCTGTCCTTGCTTTCCCCCCCGCCCCCCACCCGCAGGTGCCCATTCTGCATTTATTCCACCAACCGCCCCGCCGCCATGGAGTGCCACCTCAAGACCCACTACAAGATGGAGTACAAGTGCCGGATCTGCCAGACGGTGAAGGCCAACCAGCTGGAGCTGGAGACGCACACCCGCGAGCATCGCCTCGGCAACCACTACAAGTGCGACCAGTGCGGCTACCTGTCCAAGACCGCCAACAAGCTCATCGAGCACGTGCGCGTGCACACCGGGGAGCGGCCCTTCCACTGTGACCAGTGCAGCTACAGCTGCAAACGCAAGGACAATCTCAACCTGCACAAGAAGCTGAAGCACGCCCCGCGCCAGACCTTCAGCTGCGAAGAGTGCCTGTTCAAGACCACTCACCCCTTCGTCTTCAGCCGCCACGTCAAGAAGCACCAGAGCGCGGACAGCCCCGAGGAGGACAAGAAGGGCCCGGCCCCGGCGCCCAAGGAAGCCGCCGGCCCCGGAGCCCCGCTCCTCGTGGTCGGGAGCGCCCGCCACCTCCTGTCTCCCCTGTCGGTCATGTCCGCCTCCCAGGCTCTGCAGACCGTGGCCCTGTCGGCCGCCCACGGCGGTGGCGGCGGCGGCGGTGGCAGCGGCGGCAGCGGCGGCGGCGGCGGCGGCGGCGGCGGCGGCGGCGGCTCCGAGCCCAACCTGGCACTCAAGGCCTTGCCCTTGAATGGCTCCCCTTTGCGCTTTGACAAGTACCGGAACTCGGATTTCGCCCATCTCATTCCCTTGACGATGTTATACCCCAAGAACCAGTTGGATCTCACATTCCACCCTCCCCGACCTCAGACTGCGCCGCCCAGCATCCCGTCCCCCAAACACTCCTTCCTCGCCTATCTCGGACTGAGAGAGAGAGCGGAGACTGTCTGAGGGCAGTCGGGCTCTGTACCAAAAACCAAGAGACAGAGACAAAAACACAAAACTCACAAAACTTAAACACAACCCCAGCAGGTGTACGTTGCTGCAAAACCTACAGACCCGCCCGGGTCTGACCACGTGTACTGTATATCTTTAGTGAGGAATAGAGAATTGGCTCTGTGTGTATACCTATTGCATTGACCTGAAAGCTGCTTTATCCAATCTTCAGAGAGGTGACCTACTGCATCCGTCTACCTTCAGAGGCATGCCTCCCCAGCCACACACTCCCACCCTCAGCCCTTCTCCGTACTTTGAAAGGAAATTCGTCTTGTTAAACCCTAAAGAGAGTGTCCTTAATAGCAGTCAGCACTTGTAAGCTTCTGTACCGGTGCGTTTTGTTTTCTGTTGGGTGAATGGGGCGTGTGGGCGTTTGTGGATTTGGAAAGAGACAGCCGTGTGTCGTGTGCCATAACATTTGCACATTCTTTGTACTGGCTTCTTTCACAGGGATGAACGTTCTTTGCCCTCCTGGGTTGTTCATCCACTGCAGTCGCTCCTCGAGCTCCTTCATTATCTTTCCCTCTCTATTTTGTGGCTACAGAGTGGTAGGGCCTGGTGCTTAGGCAATGAAGGAATGGTAGACATCTCAGTGCTGCCTGAGATTTCCGACAGAGTCCTGGAGACCTTGTGCTCGCATCTCTGGTTATGAAGATGCGAGCCGTTGAGAGCCCCATCTGGGAGAAATAGCTTGCAGCACTGCAGCCAACATCACAAAACTTAAGTGTGTTTTGTGTGTGTGTCCATACGTACGCAGTGTGTATGGTACACACACACAGTGCGTCATTTTTTTAAGGGCAGATTATATATATATATATGTATGTGATGTATTAAGTCAGTGGTTACCATTTGTTTGCAGGAAAAGAAAAATTGTATGAGTGAAAATTTTTATGGTTGATAAATCCAGCCAAGGAGATTAAAAGGGGTTTGGATAAATTCTGGGTATAAATGCTCAGACTAAAAAAGAAATGGCAGTTTTGCACAGTGCTTATGGTCTTGCACTAGCTTTTGTTTCTCATCTGCAAAAAAGAAAAGTAAAATAAAAGGAAGAAAATGTACCTTTTTTATGGAAAGAGTAGACTGTATGTTTGAAACTTTTGTCATAACCTCTTTGACATATAACGACCCAACAAAAAGGTGCTGTTTTGTCCTACCGTTCAGTTTATGCCCCTGAGACGTTTCCATTGTGTTTGCAGATCGTCAGGCTATAGCGGTATTCTCCATGTTATTAATAATTCTGTATTCCATTTTGTTAACACCTGGTAGATATAACCTGCTAGGAAGCTAACTTTATACTTATTTAAAGCTCTTATTTTGTGGTCATTAAAATGGCAACTTATGTGCAGCACTTTATTGCAGCAAGAAGCAGATATGGATTGGTTGTACAGCCTTTGCTATTCTTAAAAAGTAATGGGTGATTTAAAAAGAAGAAAAGGAAAAGAATCTTTGGCTAAACATGTTAATGGCTTGTATTTTTTAAGACAACAGAATTTCCAGTATGAAACAGGCTGAAGAGCAGGAAGAAATGTGCTTTGTATAATAATGAGAAGTTTGGAATATAAAAGTTTATATATTATTTATCTATTGAAGAACTGGTGTACAGGAGGAATGCTTTCTTACTGCGTTGCTGTTTTCCATCATGTGTTATCCTAGGGTTGGGATTTTTTTTTTTCATCTATTCCACCGGGGGAAAATAAAAGCATCCCTAATTTTCTTCCTCTAGTCAGTTTGCTTCACTGAAAGCTCCCCTTGAAATTGGTACCGTTCTACAGGAAGGAGTCCAGAAGTATGTACCTTCTGTCCACACCATGGTCCTCCCTTATACCCACCCTTCCTCCCCCAGACCTAGCAGGTGTGCTACACTTCCCTTGCCAGTCATCCAGCCCTGGCAAACCTGTTTACACTAAGGAGGTGTCTCCAGGGGCAGGGAGGCTGAGCCAGCTGGGGCAGGAAGCTCCCGCACCCTGGGTCATCTTCCAGCAGAGACATCTGTTCTTGGCCACGTTTGAGACGTCATTCAACGTCGCCATATCAATGTCTCAGTAAAAGACACTATAGACAGTTATGGACGATACACTCCAAGAATACTGGGCTTATGGGTGGATTGGTTTTTTTAAAGTCACGTCCTTTTCCCCATATAATGGAGAATGTGCCACCTGGCTAATCATGTGCTTTCACAATTACAAGTTCAGTGATGACAGGAAAGAGGGCCGTGGTGATCCCACAGAGGCTGGCAGGAGGGCGAATCCCACGTGAGCACCAGCAGGTTAAAAACCTGAAGGGTGGCCCTGACAATTAAAACTGCGGATTTTACAGCATGCCACTTGTGCAATACGAGGTCTTAGGGTGAAACTTTCAAGATCAAGAAGGGTGTTGGAAGGAGACAATTGCCGCTCAGATGCTTGCCACTGAACTTGTATTTGAATGACTTAGTCATGCTTAATGTAATTGGGCAACTTTTTTAGCACTTTGGAAAGAGTCATCAATCTTTCTGGTAAATTATAAAAGTTTTCTGAGTGAGAAAAGGTGTGTTTGGAGTTTGTTTGACTTTTTATATTATTATTATTGTTATTAATAAAGAAAAATCTACAGCATTTTTCAGACTCCACCGAAGTAATATGTACCCCTGAATTTGGTTTGCAGTTTGATACTCAGGGAAGGATGTATTCCATAGATATCCTTTCCGTGTAGAACACTAATGTCTTTGAGATAGTCACCTGCCAACTAACTTCAATTCTGTTTTCACTATGCATTCTTCAATGAAAGCTAGCTTATTTTTCCATATAGTAATGCAGTTAGAGTTCTCAGCACTTTCTTCTCTCCTTTTTTTAACTCCTCATATTATGTTCAGATGATCATACTGTCAAGGTTTATGTACATTACTGAAAATTTGTATTGTATAAAGCTTTTTGCATTACAAGGCTGTACAGGGTCATTTTGACAGTAACTGGTATATTCCTTTGCATCTTAGGTTGCATTGCCAATTTCTAGTGTATCCAGTTTGGAAGTATAATATACTCTAATTAAAAAAAAAAAAAAGGTTGGCTATACTCTTGTTTCTTTTTCTTTCTTGGGTGCCATCCTTGGCTGCTTGTTAATCTCACGGTTTTGTCTTGCTTTGTTCTGATTTTCACATTTCAGTGTATTTTAGATACATTTAGGAAGTGTCCACTACTAGTTATAACTATTGCAAAATGCAAGTTTTGAACAACCGTGGTTCTAATGCAAACTGGTATTATGTAAATTATTCATGGCCATTAGGATCGAGAGCATATCCATCAATCAGTACAGCTGCAGGCCGGCTCCTTCCTGAAAATACTTAGTGACCTTTAAAAGTGTTCACCAGCCTTACCCTCTCCTGCTTAACAGCATTTTATTGACCCCATAGCCATAGGTGGGGGGAAACAGATGAGTAATTCCATTTGTCTTAATGAAGTCTGGCAACTATGAGACTGTAATGAGGGGGGAAATGATATGCTTTGCAAGTTAAATAATAATCTATCCAAATGCAAGTAAGAGTTCCCCATTCAAAGGGAGGTACCAGAGAAAGAAACTGAGCCCAAAAGAGAGAAAGAGAGAGAGAGAGTGAGAAAGCACACTGATACATTGAAACAACTTTTTTTAAAATCCATTTTAAAGTTCTGTCCATTAGAGAACTTCCCCATGAATCCTTGATGGCTGATGAAACATATAAAGCAGCAAAAGAGAGTATTTTGCCTGGTTCACAATTTGCATATGCTTCTAAGTATAACGTCCTTGGCTTGGCTGGAAGAAATCATGAACTGTTTCCCTCTACCATTTACAAAGATCAAATTTACTTTTTATAAAATGAGCTAATGTAGGAGAACCCACTTTGAAAATGGCCAGTCACTCATCAGACACTATTCTCCCCTTCATTTGTTCATCCAGTGACTGTGTTTAAGCAGCTGAATCAAGTTCTCTCACTTGATTCAAATACTCACTTTGTTTGGGGATGGCTGGTATTTACTGAAAATGTTAAAGTAAGTCAGACTTGTTGGCTTTTTGCTAGCACTACAGCAGACGTGGCATCTCATCTGGTGTACGTTTCCTGATCCCTTAGCTTCCACACCTACCTCACTT